GAAAAAAAAAAAAAAAAAAAACAAAAAAAAATAATTCAAAATTTCCGGGCCGACCCGGAACCGGCCCGGATAGGCCCGTGAACCGGCCCGAACCGGCGGGCTGACCCGGCCCGGTGAACCGTGCACGCCACGGGCCGGTTCCGGTTCCGGAAAATGTGAACCGTGAACCGGTCCGAACCGGCCCGGAACCGGCCCGAACCGGCCCGTGGCCGTGTCTACTTTCATCCTTACAGTGTCAATTTTACCTCCAAAATGGTTGAGGGGTGTGATTGTAAATTGTAATCACCCAAACAAAAACATTTTTTTCTTAGTAATTTAACCTTACCTGAGGTGGTGGCCATAATTTGCCATTGTCTTATCTCAAGCCAATAATTTGTAATCATTCATATATATATATATATATATATATATATATATATATATATATATATATATATATATATATATATATATATATATATATATATATATATATTTCAAGTTTTACGAAATTTCTGATTTTTGTCAATTTTGATCCTACAGAATGTAATTTTGAAATAATATTTTTGATTCCAAAATATGGTATTCGATTTTTTCTTTAGAATATAAATATATGAAATTTTGATTTATTAATTTGGTGAAATTGCGTAATATTTCGAAATTTAAATTTCCGATTTTCTAGAAATTTATGGATCAAAAACGATAATTCAAGAATTATTAAATTATTTACAAGAAATTGATAATTCCTGAAATTGGACACAATGATTAGAAATTTCGTTTAATAATGATTCCTCAATTACAATGATCTCATGCATGTAAATAAATCTTTTGAAAAACAAGCAGCGAACAATAATAAATAACTCAAGAATAGTGGTTAGTGCATGTAAATACTTCTATATAAATTTCTTGAAATAAGAATTTTATGAGTGGTGTTTGTTTTACCACGTGTCATGAATTTGGTTAGATCGAATGTCACATCTTCGTATGCTATTCATCTAATTTTTTTTCCACAATTATTGTTTTAAATTCAAATTGAATTTTAACTTTCGTAGATAGATATAAGCATATTTTATAGAGATTATTTGTCATACTGTGTTTTTATGTACCGAAAGTATGCGATTTATTATCATTCTAAGTGTTTCCAATTTTATTTGGTCGATTTAATTTATAAGCGAAATGTTATCATGTTAAATACTACTCTACGCTAGTGATACTTGATTTAATCATACGGTTGAGAGTGATTCAATGAATGTTCTAAGTACATTCTATGCCAAATTCAGTACATAGAGATTTCTAAGGATTTCATAGAAATATTGACAAACTGGTGACATCTTTATACATATTTCTACAATATTCATATCTACAAAAGTTGTCTATTTTGAATTTTGTCTTTTGGATTAGTTTTTTTTGGTCCGGTGGAATTTTTTTAACCTAAATATTGTAAATTTTATTCAAAATAGACTAACGGTGACACCCTAAGTCTCCAATTCTTTTATAATACGAAAGTAAAAAATACTATATATATTTTCTCGACAAACAACCTCTCTATTCAAAGTACTATATTTTATAACATGGGCATTTTGACAATTCTCGACGACAGAATAAATTTATATATATATATATATATATATATATATATATATATATATATATATATAAACAATTATCTAAATATTGATCTTTTATCATTTTGTAAAATATTATCATTATTTGCACTTTTGTAATTAATTTAAATTTACAACGAATAGGAAAACTTAATGAAAATATCAACTTTTGTAAAACAAAAAAATTGACTTCTAGTATTTCAAATTAAAATTAGACTTTGATTGCATTTTCTTAACAAATCAACGATATTTCTATTTACTAAGGTGACATATTAATTAATGGGAAATCAATTATGTCACGTGGGCCTCTATAGTTGCATGGATATGCTAAAGAATATGATTATATTTGGATTAAGAAATTGAATAAAAATGGGCCTAGAAAAAGATCTTAAACCAACTCTCATAAAATAAAACTTGTCTTTTTTACTTTATTGGATGGATTTTTGGCACTTTGTTTTTTGGGATATTCTTTTACTTACTATTATAGCCTAAAATTGTGTCACTCTCCAACTAAACAATTAGTCCCGTTTGCCTTGCTACCTAATCCAAGATTCAATTGAGGATTTTCCACGTGTCATTTATTTCTTTTCTGGACGCGTTTGATTCGGGAGATTAACCATAATTAATTAAATAATTGAACTTTATTTGATGTTTAGAATCTCAAATAATTCACCGGGTCGACCCGTTAATACCATGTTGTATTCACTTAGTGAACCTTTATTGAGTGTAGCATATAAATAATCTCCATATATAAATACAAATTTGATTAACATAATTGTTTTAAGACATTCTTTTGACTTTTGGTGTAACATATATCTGATTGTTTGACACGCAATAGAGATTATATTGTGCTCCATAAATAGATACAGCAAGTGACAGATAACCAAACACATTTTTATTTTATTTTTCTATTTTTTTTTCAGTTGAATAAATTAAAAAGTAATTTGAAAAGCAAGTTCGTCCCAATTAATTAATTTGATATATGTAGGAAAATTGTAATAATGCAGTAGAACGTAATTTGGCCTCCTCCTTGAAATACAAATGTGTATTTATTGATAAATATATATATAATATTAATATATCCACCAAATTGCTAAAAATAAGTATTTAAATTCTATTATATTATTATTACTAAGGATGTGCGAATACATTAAATAAACAAAACACATCTAGTAAAGGATGATCTTACAGTTGAAATAAATGAATTTGCGATAATTAATTCAAGATCGAATCTCATGGTCAACGGTTGCTAAATCGAACTTATCACACATGATTAATATAGTTTAATTACGTCTTTCGTATAATTTATAAGCTATTATACGATATTATAAATTTACTCAATGCAGTTATATAGAAACATGATCAATTTGTGACCCCCCAAAGTCAACTTTTGCACCACATGGACTTTATTAATAGTATGGTTATACATATATATCTGTCATGAATACTTTGGTTACACCTATGTTTGAATTTGGAAACATACTTTATTTTTATTTAAAAAAATGAGTTTTACAAGTTACATCAATCATTTAAATTCATTCGGTGATCTAGACTAGCTATTGAATATAATAATTAATAAATCAAAATTAAAATTATATTTTCTGTTTTATTACTTATATTTATAAATTTTTATAACGAAGCAAAATAGTAGGTCTACATTAATTATATGTTTTAAATGTATGAAACAAATAGGTTGACATTAAATCTCTTGGATTTTTTTTTTTCTGGCCCTATCAAATTAAATTCTTTTTATTTTTTTACCTAGTGGTGAAAATATTAATTAACTCAAGCTACTGCAGCAGTGACATTTTTACTGCTTATGAGATCTTACACTTGATGAAATACACTGTATGGTTTTTAAACCGTAAATCTACGTACCCATTTTTACGGACCAATCGCACAAAATGGCACATTTTAAACACTAGCAATAACTGTCCGAAGTCGACCAATGCCAAACCCTAATGATTTGAACGGCGTGCGTATT